GTACCTTGCTCATAGAAACCACTCTCGTGATCAGCCTGCCGTCTCGTGGCCATCTTCTTCGAAGTGGCACTGGCGGTCAAATTCAGCGCTTTGGTACTACTACCGCCGCTATTGGTGTAGTAGCGACTCATTGTGGCAAGGTGTTTGTGATGGTAAACGCTGCTGTAGATTTCGTTTTATTTTCTTTTTCAGTAGAAACGATTTGTATTTTAAGATTTGTAAAATTATTTTGAATTTTTGGTTTAAGAAATAGTTTTTATGGATTTTAAAACTATCAATTGTGACATTTCCGTGTGCTAATTATTATTTTTTTTTTTGTATTTTCAACCGACAAATCTTTTAAAATCGGTATATTTGACGCTGCAAAGGAACTTAGAGGAGTTCTTTTATTGGTAAATATGGAAAAGGCGAATAATTCACGCATACATTAAAAAAGGCATGAAATACGGTGGGAGGGGGTTGATACGCTAACGCGCGAAAATCCTGTTCATAAAAGTTGCAGTCAACTTGTTGCGTACTTTTGGCTGGCGACTGCTGCTGCAGCCTTATATGGTATAATAGATGTAATTATGAAAATGCTGGATACTGTTCCCATTTTTTTCAAGACTCCGAAAGATCTGCAAAGATAAATAAATAAATGTTAGTTATAAGAATAGAAAATTATATTATAATAATTAAATGTTTTTTTTCGCATGGCGGTCAATTCTTTCTGAATATCGTTAATGTGCGCTTAAACGTAGCAATGCAACCCCTGTTTCTACGCATTTGTCTATCAAAATCCGACATCGAAAGTCTACTTTCCCGTGCAAACAGCCAAAAAAATCCTTTTTGCAGATTTGCAGAAATCACTTTCGGAAACAAAAATTGCAAGGTGTAAAGTGGATGTTCAAGTCGTTTTCAAAAGTTTGTCAAACTCACGAATTTCTCAAAGAGGTTGCAGGAGCAGTTACACCTTGCATGTAAAATGGCTTTCGAAAGCAGTTTTTATTTCTGAAAATCAAACTTTCCGAAACTACTTTTTGTCTGTTTACACGAATGGTCAAATGCGCACAAAACAACCACAAAGTGTCTAATGCTTTAATATTTATGTATATTGTTCATATCAGGAGAATACAATAATTATAAGTATTTTTTTAAATGCGATGCAACATTTTTTTCTCATAGAAATTCGCAAAAATCGGTTGGAAATGAAAGTTGCTAGCACGATCCAGTTGAAATTATTTCTCGAAACAATTTGCGTAATTTCAGTTGCAGTTACACCTTGCAATTTTTATTTACAAATCTGCACAAAGGACTTTAGGACTTTCTGGCTGTTTACACGGGAAAGTAGACTTTCGATTTCACATTTTGACAGCGAAAGGCGCTTGCATTGCCACGTTAAACCGCTCCTTTACACCTTGCAATTTTTATTTCCGAAAAATATTTCTGCATATCTGTAAAAAGGACTTTCTGGCTGTTTACACGGGAAAGTAGAATTTCGATTTCACATTTGATGTTTAACCGCACCTTAAAGAGGGTGTCAGACATGGCAATGCAATATACATATTTCAAAAAGGCTGTCAAATTGTAAAATTTCAGAATGCGGTTGCATGAGCAGTCACACCTTGCATGTAAAGTATCTTTTGAAAGGGGTTTATGTTTCCGAAAGGCGAAATTTCTGAAGACGCTTTTTGGCTATTCATACAGCGAATTAATTTTTTGCAATCTTTTTCTATACTAAAATGCAACCTTTCTTCTTCTCGCTTTAATTGGCTTTAACTTGGTAAAATTCCGCCACATGATCCAACTACACTCTAATTCTACTTGGTTCATGATTCCGCCATGAACACGCTCTTAACTGCTTCTGCTATCACTTTTGGAAAGTCTTCAGTTTGACAGACATTTGGAAAGGACTTGCACTTGCCACGTCTAACTGCTACTTTATTTTAAAAAAGTATAGACACGTAAGAATCTTTCGGTGTTTTTATAATCTTCCGCTTATTTATATTAGAGAATGGGCATTAACAAAAAATTTTTATACATTCATGGACGGCTTAAAGCAAAAAACTAGTACATATGTGATATGTATATATGTAAGTATGTACAGTATATTTTGCTTAGCTGCACATCCTTCTTTGCACGAAAAACTAGTGCACGTAACCGAAAAAGGCATTTAAGCGAATTTTCTTTACTACTTCAATGAGGAAGGTATCCGAATCCCTATGAAACCAAATATTGGCGGAGTAGAAATTACTGCAAGAGAAATTTTTACCAAATGTTATCTAATTATCTATATAACTACATAAATTGATAGCCATTTTCGTTGTTCTGCGAGATGACCAAAATAAATANAGGTAAACGTAATACTTTCATTGATAATTGATACTAGTCGCACAATTTTTAAGGCAGGTATCGCCAATGTGCAGGTATGTTGAATGCATCTATCGGAGCAGTTTCCTTATAAATGTTAAAAATAATGCTTTTGATGCGCATTTTCGGGTAGGTATCTTAAATGTGCACTTAAGCATAGAGGCAGCAAAGCAAAATATACTGTACATATGTAAATAAAGATGCATTCCAATTGGGGAATATATATAAATATGTACATCTACTTGTCTCGCCGTACCTTCATTCAAAATCAAATTATACATATGCATATGTACATACGTATGCATATACAGACGTGCAATTATGTGCACAACTTCTTCAACTCCACCCACAAGTCCATACATATAGTACGCCAGCTGCTATAATTGAAACTCACCTTTTAATGTTATTAGCACTAGAGGACTTCCAATTTTATTAATTCAGGCACACGAGAAAAAAATAAATAATATAATTACTTTTCCAACCGATTTATTCGTCTATTTTATTAGTTATTTTTTTACAATTTTATCGGAAAGCCACAGGCGTTGCTCAACCACATCATCGCACGATTGCTTGTTATTCTATGAAGTGCTTTTTCCGCCCCCCAACTCGTTTTTTAGAAATATCGGTAGCACATTTTGTAAATTTGTGAATTA